GGGGGGGGGGAAGACAAAAACCCAGAACATGTGGGAAAATATGGGGAATCCTGCTATATACAAGTGGCACGTGTGTGCCCAGGCTCATACAAAAAACTGAAGGGGCGTTTGAAGCAGGAGTGAAATGCAACATCGAAGTCGCACTCGAGCGCAAGTGGGGTTGCCACACCTTGCGATGTGTGTACCAGGACCCCCCAGGAAGCCTCAGGAGGCCCGACTTGGATACCAGAAGAGGCTCCAGGAGGCCCCAGTGATGTGTGTGTGTGTGTTGTGCGTGTGTGTGTGTGTGTGTGTGTGTGTGTGTGTGTGTGTGTGTGTGTGTGTGTGTGTGTGTGTGTGTGTGTGTGTGTGTGTGTGTGTGTGTGTGTGTGTGTGTGCGTGTGCGTGTGTGTGTGTGTGATGTATGCTTTGTGTGGTGCGTGCTTTTTGTGTGTTGTAGGTGTTGTGTGTGTGTGTGTTATGTTTGTCTAGCGTGTGATGTGTTGGGCGTGATTTGTGTCTCTGTGTGCATGTAGTTCTGAAGCCCCAGGAGGCCCCAGGAAGCCCCAGGCGGCCTCAGGAGGCCCCAGGAGACCCCAGGAGGCTTCAGGAGGCCCCAAGAGGCTCCAGGAGGCCGCAGGAGGTCCCAGGAGGCCCCAGGAGGTTTCAGGAGACCCCCAGGAGGCTCCGAGGCGGGGTCTGGGGTGCCAGAAGGTTCAGAAAGCCCCGGGAGGCCCCAGGAGGTTCCAGGAGGCAGGCCCCTAGGAGGCTCCGAGGCGGGGCTCGATTTTGGAAGGATTTTTCAAGCGAAACCGGCATTCCCTGAGAATCGGGGTCACAATTATTGAAATTACCATGTGTTTTTGAAGGTTTTATGTTAAAATGTTGAAATTCCCATGTGTTTTTGGACCCTGACGTCACGATCTGCGTGAGGGGTGCCACCGATTTTCATAATTTCGAGGATGTCCCGAGCGAAACGCCCAGAAAAATCGCGGACGCGTGCGCATTAATCGCCTCTGAGCTCTACTCCCTCGGAGAGGTGCGTATGAGAATGTGTATGTATTTGCGTGTGCCCCAGGGCCCCTTCAAGATCTCCGACGACGCGTTTGTTTGTTCAGCCCGGGCGTCTGTCTTCGGTCTCTCGGCCTTGCAGGGCCCGTCCGCGGGCCCAGGAAGGGGTCGGCATCTCTCGGGGGGGGGGCCACGGGCGGAACGAGAGCACACTGGGCGACGTCAGGGAGAGGCCCTCTCGGAGGCCTCCGCGCGCCCACCCGGGAAGCCCCTCCCCCGAGCAGTGGCGAAACGCCCTGGCTTGCCCACAGGCCCACCACCCACCGTCCGCTGGCCCAGGAAGGGGTCGGAATCTCTGGGGCCACGGGCGGAACAAGAACAGAGAGGACGACGTCAGGGAGGCCCTCTCGGAGGCCTCCGCGCGCCCACCCGGGAAGCCCCTCCCTCGAGCAGTGGCGAAACGCCCTGGCTTGCCCACAGTCGGCCCAGATTAGTAGGTCGACCCTGCCAAGTCAAGGGTACCTCCGTGTCCTGTCTTTAGAGGCCCGTGCCTTTTACATTCCTGTGGCGATGTAGCCCTCGGAAGGGTCTTGTGTCCTCTCGCGTGTCCTCTCCAATCGAGCCCGTCTGTATAGGCCCACCGCCGAGTGTTCTGAGAACCTCCTGTGGTCTGCGCGACATGCTGTCCGAACACGTTTGGGGCCGAGAGCGTCTTGTTTCAGCACGTCGGTTGCACGTTTCGGAGGTGGATAGACCTCCTACCGTGACACGTCGATTGAGGAGTTGGCCGTTTTCGGTTCGCGAGAGGGCGTCGCGGCCGTTGTTTTTGCGGGTCCAGATCCGTCGGTTTCGGTCCTAGGCCGTTTTCACTCAGGGGAGGTTTACTAAAGGGAGGTTTGTCCACGGCCGAACGTTCTAATCGCATTGTTTCGTCGTGCAGGAATGCCGGGACGGTCGGTCCCTGCTCAAATACCAGGACCGTTCAATGGCCCGTCCGGGGCAGCTTGCCGAGCTACGCCCATGGGGGCGGCGAGGGCCCCAACCGTGGGGAGGCCCTCAGAAAGCGCCTCTCATCCGACTCCCTCGCCCCTCCCCCTCCCAGGAGAGAGAGGCGAGGAAGCGGAGGGTAGAGGAGGGATGGAGAATGGTGGTGGTGGTGGCGTGCAGTCAAGGCGCTGCAATACGAAGCGCTTTGGTCTCAGGAGGGGCTTGGGCTTACGGGCCGTTCCTCGTGCTTGTGTCGTGGAACCTGCGTGTGGCTTCTGGGCCCGCCGCGGGCGGCAACGCGCCCCTCCGTTCTCTCTTGTGCGTTCCCTCTGGTAGCACGACGGCTGCAGAGTGGGACCCGCACACCACCCCTGGCGAGCCGCTGGCAGGGGCCCAGCCGGGACCCTCCCTCCTGGGGAAGGCGAGGGCGTCTCGGCCTCCCCAGCCTCGGCCGCGCGCGCCTTCTCGGGCGGCGCCGCCGCGGCGAGGAGCTGCTGCTGCGCCTCCGTCGAGCTGTCGTCGCCGCCGCCGCCGCCAGTGGCCGTCCGCCTGTCGCCGCCGTCGGACCGTCGGTGGTCGTCGGTGGTCGTCGTCGTCGTCGCCGCCGCCGCCGCCGCCGCCGCCGTCGCCGGCCCGTCGGCCCGTCGGCCCGTGGGCCCGTCAGTCGCCGCCGTCCGAGCCGCGCTCCCCCCCCCCCCCCCGCGACAGGCTCGCCGCCTCCGCCGTGGCCAAGCCGCAGGGCTGGCCAGCGTGAGTGGCTCCCCGTCGGCATGGGGCGGCGCGCGGGCCGCCTCGGGGTGAGGTTTTGTGGCCTGGTCCGGGGGTCCAGGTTTTGCCCTTGCAGGCCTCTGCGGGCCTTGCCTCGTCCCTTCTTTTCCACGTATTTGCCACTCGCAGTCGAGGCGCTGAAGTGAAGACCGCTGTGGGCTCCGGGGGGGCTGGTTTTCCGGCCGTTCCTCGGGCCCAGGTCGGGGAACCTGTTCGCGGCCGAGGCTCGCGGTGGCCAGAAAAGCCCCCTCGTTCCTGTTCTGGCGCTCCTTATGGTAGCGCGTTCGTACTCTCTGCCCACACGCCCGCTCGTCTGCGTACCCATCGTTTTCGTCAACAGGTTCGGCAACATCCGATCAGTAGGCCGACTGCCTCGTCAGAGTATCGCATCCACATCAGATAGCGAGCTAAGGAATCAAAGTGGCGCCCGTCGCGTTAGAAGTATAAGCGGATCCCCCTCCTGGGTGCACGACGAGTTGCATATTGCCAACCACGCGTGCCACGGACCTTTCGCTTGTTGTCCCACTTCATTTCGGCATCAGCACGTCGCGTTTCTGCAGGGGAGGAATGGAGTCCTCGCGTCGAAGGAAGCCTACTTCCCGATTCTGTCCTGAGCCCTCTCTTGCTGCTGGTGTGATTCGCTCTCTTCCACAACCACAATTACCTTGTCCTGCTCCTCATTCCCCGGCCTTCTCTAGGGAGAACGCACGTACTCGTTCAGACATATTTGATGCCGACACGTGTGCCAAGATGGTTCGTGGTCTGACTTGTAGGACGGGCTGAAATTGCACGTGTCTCGTCTATGGCTTCCTCATTTTCCTCGGCTCAGGGATCAGTAGTTGTGATTCGTTGTAAGCCGCTGGAGACCATCGGGATTGTAGTCGTAGACCTGCCTGTCGCTTCACAGAGTGGTGACCAGGTCGCAGAAAACGTATGCGTGCTTCTCAAACTTGATTTGTACGGTAGCAGCGTTGATGCATGAATGTTGTGAATGGTGTGGGCAGTAGCGCCGATGCTTTTTACGCCGTGGCACATGTTTATTGCGTTGCTGGTTTCTTGTCATGGAGGAGCGTGGAATCAGCGACGGTGCATAGGCTCGATACAGGATTCGATCGCATTTGGGGACATTCTCGCAGAGAGCGCCCGTTTGCTTGATTGTGCATGCGGTCCCAGACGCCCTGCCAAACATGGTTGTAGAGGTGGTGCTGACAGCCTTGTACACGGCAGGGGCTCATGACAGATACTGTTGTCAAACGGGATTCTCGCGGTCGATTGCATTGTCGAGAGGTAGGGCGGGGCCCTTCGCCCTGACCCTCCGTGCTGCAAAGACAGGAGCGTAGTCGCGAGGTTATCTGCTGTCGCCCATGGATGGGCTGAGAGGCCCCGAGACGGCCCGAGAGTGTTCCAAGAGGGCATCAAAAGGAATCCAAGATGGCCCTAGAGACCTCCTGGGAGGCCTCGAGACGGTCGACGAGGCCCCCAAGAGGCCTCCAAGAGACCACCAAGAGGTGGCCTTTTTTCCATGGAGGCCCAAATCCTTCAAAGTCCTGGCTTCTGTGGGTCCCTGTGGGGCCACTGGGGGATCAACAAATTCCGTGGGGCACCCGGCAGGCCGATTCCTTCTGTGGTGCGCCTGCTTGCGGAGGGCGGCCTGGACCGCCGCGGCCAGCCGGGCCGCAGATCGGGCCGAAGGAAAGGGGGGGATAGGGAAAGGGGGGGTTACGACATCTGCTGCATGCAGCTGGTTTCGGCCCCGCCGCCGGGCCCATTCCTCGATACATGGGCGCCTCCCGGCGCCGGGAGGCGCTGGGACAATCAGCTACGTGAGCTGATTCTCAAACCCCCCTTTGCTTTCCCCCCCTTCGCCCGGCCCGAGCAGAGGGCTGCCGGGCCCGAGGTCCCAGGCCGAACGCAGATGCAGAGTCTTCTGCGCCAGGGCGCCGACCAGGCTCGAGCTTCGGCCCCTGCGGCCTCCGAGGGCCGAGTAGGGCCCCAGCAGCTGAGGAAGAAGCAAGCACACGAGCAGAAGTGTTTCGGGGGCGGCAAAGAGGGGGGGGGATGACTAGGGGGGGTGGATATCATGGCGTGGGCCATGATGTTTCCCCAGATTTCATGGCGCCTCTTCATTTCATTTCGTCACGTCCCTTGCCCCCCCGCTGGGCCGCGCACATGCCGCCGGTCATGATTTGCACCCCCCCTCTTGGACACCCCCCTCTTGGCCGCTCCCGAGTGTTCGGAGGTCCGCGCGGATGCCTCGGATCGGTGCAGATCCCAAGCCCTGGCGCGCGGAGCGCTCCATGGAGAGGGGGATCCAGCGTCCGTTCGAGGAATCTGCGGCGACCTCTCCGAAGGCTTGCGCTTGTGCAGCCTGCTGTTCCTCCGAGCGAGGGGCACGGCATGCGGGGACCCCTGCGATGGAGGCGCGCGCAGCGCTGCTGGGAGGAGGCGCCCCGCCCCGCTGGCGGGGGCTCGGCGCTCTCGCGCCCGCCGGGCTGCCGCGCGCGTGCGGCCGTGACCTCCGCGGGCCTCGGGGGGCGGAGCCGAGCCGGGGCGCCCGGTGCGCCATCTCTTTCTACGCGGGCCGGCCAGGGCCGAACAGGTTCGACTCAGGTCATGGGGTGCCAGCGGTTTGTTCTGCGGGCGCCCCCCCCCCCCACACGCACACACACGCACACACACGCACTTTTGGGCGGTCGCGGCCTCGCCCGCGGCGTTGAGGCGGAGAAAGTCACCGAAGGAGCAGGCCCGCGCGAGCGCGCGGCGGGCCGCTCCTCAGAGCGAGCAGGGACCCATGGAGGGTCAACCATGCCATTCGCACATCTAGGCGTGGGCAGCGAGGGTGCAGCCAGTGGCAGGGAAGAGCCCGGCCAAGTAGAGGCACAGCACAACGATCCCCCCCCACACACACACACACACACACACACACACACACACACACACACACACACACACACACACACACACACACACACACACACACACACACACACACACACACACACACACACACACACACACACACACACACACACCACACACACACACACACACACACACACACACACACACACACACACACACGCACACGCACACGCACACGCACACGCACACGCACACGCACACGCACGCACACACACACACACACACACACCTACACGCACACACGCACACACGCACACACGCACACACGCACACACGCACACACGCGCACACGCACGCACACACACACACACACACACTCGCTTTCTTTGTTTGTTGCCACGCCTTGTCTTCCAGCGGGGGCCTCCTCGCGCCCGCGGCCGTGGAAGAACTGCTCCCGGGGAGAGCCCCGCGAGAGAGGGTCCAGGAGCCGCCGCTGCCAGGGCCCCACTCGCGCCACCGAGATGTCTCCAGGCACCCACGCGGGGCTCAGTTCGACTCCTCGGCTTCGATTCGATTCGATTTCGATGGCTTCCGATTCCGATTCTGATTCGATTCGACTTTGGACTCCGATGTGGGCTCCGATTCCTTATACTGGAGGCGCACTGGCCTGCCGATTCCCGCCGATTCGACTTCTCTGGACTTGGCTGCCGAATTCCGCCGATCCGATTCCTTTCGATCTCCGATCCGACTCATCGATTCGATTCTGGGTTCTCCTGCACCCGTTGGTCCACCGGGTTCGGACGGGGAGGGGGTGCTGCAGTCGCTCTTCGGTCTCCGCTTCGCTGAGAAGTGGTGCAGGCCGACCAGGGCCAGCTGTATGCTGCTCCCACGCCAGGACCGCTCCGATGTCGAGGGGCTGCGAGCAATCGGCCGAGGGACCAGCATTGCGTGTGCGAGCGACCACCCAGGGCCTCGCTGGCGCCGCTCTCTCGCCGCACGCGCACTCCGCATTGCCCGTGCATGTTGTTCGCTGGCATCGGCGGTGGGCCCTACGCAGGTCACGCGCACGCTTCAAGCATCACACCACCGAGCAGCTCCAAGGGGATTCGCTGGTATCGTTCGGGCTCCAGGCCCCCCCGGGAATGAAGGCGGAGTGTGCGACGTCCAGAGCAGAGGTCGGCGCAAGCCGAGATGCTGTGGACATGTCGTGAACTGGATTGTTGTCTTCGGTTGCTGGCTGCCCACCTGTTCGCCCTCCGCAGGTCTGCGCACACGCCACCGCACCCTGTCGGCTGCTCCTCCTGCCTGCTGTGCACGGAGTGCTTTGCCCCCTCCCCCCAGATTGCCGCCCCGAGGTGAGGCACCAGACCATCCGGGAGGCTTGCCAGCCTCAGGAGATCGGCCGCGTGCGCCCCCATGTCGTGTGGAGCAGGAGCAGGAGAGGAGGGAGACGAGTCACGTGGGCCGAAGTAAAGAGGCGCCTGCTGGGTTTGGTCGTGTTCGCTCTGCGAGGGCGTTGCCGTGCACGATTTCACTCGTCCGTCCACTGGCGAAGCGACTGGGAGGTTGTTCCTGGCCTTGTTCAGCTGATGCACCCGTCCCACTGCTTGGTTCAAGATTGCCGCCTTTGGCAATCGTGGTTGGCGGTGCAGCAGCATGGCTTGAGTGTGTGTTTTTGAGGCAAACCATCCTCAAACATTAAATTCAAAAAATTCATAATACTCTGATCCAACTCTGATTCAACTCTGGCCCGGGACTCTGTTTCATTGTTTCCGAAACTCTGATTTAATTCTGGTCTGAAATCTGATTTAACTCTGATTCGGTCTTGTTCCCAACCAGAGCTAGATCAGAGTTAAATCCGAGTTCCAGACCAGAGCCAAATCAGAGCTTCAGCTAGACCAGAGAGATGAATCAGAGTTTCAGGCCAGAGCCAAATCAGAGTTTCTGCTAAACCGGAGATGAACCAGAGTTTCAGGCCAGAGCCCAAACAGAGCTGCATCAGAGCACCACCAGAGTTCTGGCAGTCTGCCATGCTGCATGGCGCCACCAGGCGCGACGACAGTGGCGCCTCGCGCGTCGCGGTCTGGGGCCAGAGGGCTGCCAGTCTCCTCTGGTGGCGGGGCGGCTTGGCTTCTGACACGTCTGGTGGCCCCACTGACCGAGAGCCAGAGACCGATGACAGGCTCATGAATGCCTTGGTCCTGGATAAAACTGGGGGAAACAGGAGAGCTGTCATTCTCCAGGGGGGGAGGGCACAGAGGAGGTCTGTTCGGACGCTTCGGGTGTGCGCGCCCAGTAGCCTGCCGAAGAAAAGTAGGTCTGTTCGGCCCCCTGCCACCTGCCGCCGCCGCGCGCGCCGCCCCGCGCCCTGCTGCCTTTCGATCCCCCTCCCCTGCCGCGCGGCGCCGCGCGCCTTGCCCTGGCACCGCTCGGACGCGCGCGCTTTTCTCGGCAAGGCCAGCGCCCGCAAGCCTGGACCCTCCAGGGGCAGCTGAGATCCTCGCGCGAGCAACAAAAAAAACGCACGCACGACACCGAACAAAGTGCGCAGGGGAAGGAGGTCCGAGCGATGGCAAGCTGCTGCCTTTCGACCCCTTTTCGAGTGGGGGATCGACTGCAGAATGGATTTACAAAAAAATCGGTTTCTTCATCGAATCCATTGAAAAGGCGTGGAAATCTTGTAGATCTACGACCATGATACGCATTTGTTGCAAATTCTAAATGCTTTCACTGACCTTAGCGGCGACCAGCTGCGACCCCCTGGACCAACCACTTCCCCTATCCCACGTGTGCGGGGGCCTGACCAAGGTGAGAGGCGGCTTTTCCCCCGCCTCCCACCGCGGGAGCCAGGCGGGTGTCCCCCGCTCATGGCCACGGGGACCACCGGCGTTCCGTCGGCTGTTGGTGGTGTCGCCCCCCCTCCCAGGGCCGCACTCGCCCATCGCTGCTTGGGGCTGGTTTCCCCCCCCTGCGGCGGTCCGGTGCGGCCCTGGTGGGCCTCGTGGCGTTCGTTGGCGGGCCCGGGGCCAGGGTGGGATGATCCTGCGGCGGGCGTTGCCGGACCTGCGTCTGACGGCCCTCCTGTCTCTCACTGTGCAGCCGCCCCCTAGCACACCGCTTTGAGACAACATCACATCGCCCGTACCAACGCCACGTGCCCCGCGAGGCACAATTCAACCTGTGCTCTTGGGGACCCCCTGATCTGGTCCGGTTCGCCTCGCGGCACCACCACTCCAGTGCATTCCATCTCTCCCTCTTCGCTGGCGATGCTCACCGCGCCAGCGGGCTCCCCCACACCCCGTGGCCTCGCCGTGCCGGCTCGCGCTGGAGGGCTCACAGTCGCGCGGTTACCCCCTGGCATTGTGATGTGGTCTGACTGGGGCTGGCTAGTGTGCTGAGTGGTTCAGCCTTCCGCAACAGAGGCCCACCTTCGGCCCCCCCCCCCAGTGCGTTGCACCACGGCTCTCGACTGCTCAGCCAGCTTGGCTTGTGCAGGTCGTCCGTTTGGAGCCTGGCGCCACATTGGCGACTCACTCCAATGGCCATCTCGTCTTCACCTTGCACTATGACTTGCCCACCGTCCGCGGGTTCTGTGCGGGTTTTGCCTTGGCCGCTTGAATTCTGGTCATTTTGTCCAGTGCGCGTGCCCGAGCTTGCAGTGCGCAGTCAGTTCAGCTTCGCCCATCCTGCAGCTGCCGTCTGGGTGGGCCGGCCGGCGCGCCTGTCCTAGCCAATTAGCCTCGTTCGTGGCCCGGACGTTGCCTTTGCCGCCTGACCCTTGTCTCGTGGCCGCCGACCAAAAGTATCCCCACCAGCTTGCATTGGCACGCCTCGCCCGCAGAGGCGCCACGTGCCCCGGGAGGCACAGCCCGTTCTGTTCTCTTGGGGATTCGCCTGCTCTGGTCTAGTTTCGCCTTCAGGGCAACACTACCACCAGCGCAGCTCCCTCTACTCTTCCCCGCTAGCGATGCTGACCACGCCAGCTGGCTCCCCCCCCACTCAGAGGCCTTACGCCATGCTGGCACGCACTGCGAGGCTCACAGTCGCTCGGTTCCCCCTTGCGCTGTGGGGTGGTCTGACAGGCGTTGGCTTTGTTACGGAGTGGTTCAGCCTTTCGCAGCAGGTACAGCATTCCAGGCTCACCTTCAGCTTTCCCCAGTTGCGTTGCACCACGGCTCACGACAGCTCAGCCTTTCTGGCTAGCTCAAGTCGTCCGGGCGTTTGGAGCCTGGCGCCCCACTGGCGAATCATTCCAATGGCCTACCACTTGCCCCCACTCAGCACGACGGATGTGACCATCCTGGTTCACGTCTCTACTGTGTGGGTCGTGCCATGGCAAGCACCGAATTCCGTGACACTTGGTCCTGTGCACGTGCTCGAGCTCTCAGGATGCCGTCCGCCGTCAGCTCCCCCTTTCAGCTTCGCGGCTGCTGTGTGAGTGGGCCGGCCGGCCTGTGCTTGTTGTAGCTCATTAGCCTAGTTCGAGTCCCGGACTTTGCTCTTGCCGCCTGACCTCTGTCTCGCGGCCGCGACCAAAAAAATATCCCCACCAGCCTGGTGAAGTCCGTTCCCACCTGCCCGGTCCGCCCTCCCGCGCAATACGCGGTCCCCTCCGTGCGGCGTCCAGGACGCACACCCCTGGCCAGGCTCCCTGTTGCAGTCGCTTTCCCTTTGGCCTGGTCTACAATACTCGCCGCAGCCGCCCGGGTCTGGCGTCGACTGCGGGGTTTGCGTGATGTGCCGCGGAGTGGTACAGCCTTCCAGCAGACACTGTGGTTCCCCACGGGCGCCCTGTCCCCGCCTATTCGGCTTGTACACCGCCACGGCTGTGGCCCTGGCTCTTGGCGCCCTGTGGCGACATGGTCAGACTGTGCCTGGTCACTCATGTCCATGGTGCCTGAGCTCGAACGCATGGCTTCCAGCTCCTCGTTCCTGGTAGCGCGCCGCTTACTGGGTTGCCCGGCGGCGGAGGCACTCCGCTAGTTTGATGCGTGGTTGCAGGTACAGACCCGATCATGCTTTCCTGGCGTGCAGGACTGAATTCCACTTTGGTGTCTTTCAGCCCCTGTCTTGCATGTTGCCCCAGCTACCCTGGCCTTCTGCAGACTGCTCAGCCAGCTCTCCATCAGCTGCAGCCCCGCCAGCAGCTGCTTCTGAGTGCTGGCCCGGCCGCTTCGCTCGAGGCTCGCGCGTAGCTAATTAGGCAGGACCGTGCCCCAGACCTTCCCTTCGGCGACTGCGTGACCGCGTCAGCCCGCGACAAAAAAAAAATCCCCACCAGCCCATCCCGAAACGACGCCCAGGCGAGTAGAGGGTCGTCCTGAGGGTTTTTTCGGCGTCTTGGGTGCCTCGGGGGGGCCTCTTTGGGCCGCGTGGGATCCTCTTGGAGGCCTCCTGGGGGCCTCTTGGGGCCTCCTGGGCGCTTCGTGGGGCCATCTTGGAGGACATCGATCAAAGAAGAGGGGAGCTTCAATTAGGGTTGCCCCTTCAGGAGGCCAAGATGGGGCCCAAACCCCGGCAAAATCAATGATTCTGGCTTCAAAGAAGAGGGGAGTTCCAATTAGGTCTACGACCACGATGCGCACGTGTTGCAAATTCGACGACAAAAGCATGTCTGGGTCGAGTCCATGTTGTAGTCGATCCCCTGCTCGACCCCACTGGCCCTTGCCGCGCGCTGCTACGCCCGCCCCCCTCTACGCCGCCCGGCGCGCGCGGAGGGCGCCCCGCCGCTGCCGCTGGCCGCCCTCGTGCGCCGAGACGGCCCCGCGCTCGAGAGCCTGGACGCGCTGCTGGCGGGCGCGAGGCGGCCGCTGCGGGCGGCAGCCCTCGTCGGCGAGATCCGAACCCCGCCCTTGCCGATCAACGATTCGGCGGGGGTGCACTTCTCGTCGAAGTCCAACGCCGCGAGCTTTTGTTTCCAACGACGAGGCGACGCCCTTGGACCCCCGAGTTCCATGTCGCCGCCGACGCTGGCGACTGTCATTTTTTGTTCACCCCGCGGGCCGCGTTGCGCGCGTCCATCAACATTGAAATTCGGGTGCGAGGGCGTCGGATAAAACCTGCGTTTGATTTCGAGGAGGGTTGTATGGTTCGGAATTCGCCGACCGCGAGGCGATATTTGAACCCTACGCCCGACTCCCATCGATTCGAGCGAATTGATGTTTGGTGGAAGTAGAGTTCGGGTATCGCCGCCTGCGTCCAGGTCGTGGCCAGGGCACCGAGAGAGCGAGAGAGAAAGAGAGACCTGAGATCCTGGTGCCGCGATTTTCTCGAGCCAGGCGATTTCACTGCGTCTCGGGCCCAGGGGCCCTCACATGTCGATACACGCTGGTCGATGAAAATGCGTATTCTCGGATTCCCAGATTTCAGTCTTCTTCAGGCGCCCTCCTATCGAGCGGTTTCACCTTTTCCTTCCTCTCCAGGGGGCGGGCGGAAGCCAAATCTACTTCCAACGCCTTCCTGCTTCGTGTTTCTACCCGCCTCTTCCGACCGACGTGTACGGCTCGAGAGATGGCGCGGACAGATGGGCTCTGGGGCGCAGGTCGTGATTTCCCGCGGCGTCTCAATGTGTTCGCGCCGTCGGATCTCTGGGGGGAGAGAGACGCGTGCAGAGACGCGGGCAGGGACGCGGGCGCCGACTCAGAGACGGGAGAAGTAGAGACACCAAAGAGACAGGGAGACGGAGAGAGGGGGGGGAGAGAGAAAAACAGAGAGAGAGAGAGAGAGACAGAGAATTACACGCCGGTCGTTGAAAGTAGGAGTGTCGGGATGTCCAGATCCCGATCTACTTCGAGAGGCTTCCTACTTCAAGAATCGATGTGCTTCTGCTCTGTGTGTGTGTTGGTTTCCTCTTGGGAGGGCCTGAACCAAATCTACTTTGGTATCCCTCTTCCTACTTCATGTTTTCACCTGCTTCTTCCGACCGACGTGTGAGGTCAGGAACTTTGGCATGGCGTGTTGCTCGGCCAGGTCTTGCCCGCCACGCCACGCTTCGGAGCGACGCGCTATCCATGGCCCGGCGTCCAAGCGTTCAACGTCCCGAGCTCTTCCCGGCCTCCCGCCCCGCGGAGCGGAGCGACACGCCATCCGCTTGCAAGGCACGGCGGGTCGCCGGGGCCGCCGCCGCGACACGCTGTGCAAAAGTTCCTGACCGTAGAGGTGGAGAGAGAAAGAGTGGGAGAAGGAGAGAGACAGGGAGAGGGAGAGAGGGTGACGGTTGGCAGGGGTATCCTTCTGGAGCAGGGGTGGGTGGTGGCAGAGAATGGACGTCCCTAGAGCCGCGCTGCCACGGAGGAAGAACGGGCGGATGGGAGCGACGGATCCTGGGCGCGGCCACTCGCCCTGTCTACTCCTGGGTCGAGCCGAGCCGAGCAGCAGGAGCAGCGGTAGCATTGGCCGCAGCGGCAGTAGGCTCGTCGCGGGCGTCAGCATCAGCATGACCCATCTCTGGCGAGAAGTGTCATTCCGACGCCCCACCGCCGTCACCTCCATCGTCGTCTCGCGATCCTCTTTCACCATAAGGTATGGGAAGAATAAAAAATGCAGAACAGCCGCATCTCGCCAAAATCTTATCGTCCTAGCCGTCATCGCCGCTGCCGACGTCGTCGTGCCCATCGCCATCTTTGCCATTGTCGTCGATCGCCGTCGTCGTTGTTGTCGTCGTCGTCGATCGTCGTCGATCGTCGTCGTCCCTCGACGTCGATGATCGCCCTCAATCGCCGTCGTCGAATATTGTCGTCGCCCCCCTTTGTCGTCGTCCCTTGTCGTCGCTGATCGTCGCCGATCGTCGTCGTCCCTCGTCGTCGTCGTGGTTGATCGTCTTCGTCCCTCGTCGTCGCATGTCGTCGTCGCACGATGGAGGCGGCTGGGGGGTCTGAACTGGTTGGGGCCGCAGAAGACCGGTCTGGAGGGGGGGTGAGGCCAAACCATCTCAAAATCGGTCCCGGAACCCCTCCAGGGGCCCATCTGGTGCACTTCTTCACCCCGGACCCGTTTCCCGGGTCCCGGGGCCCGACAACTGCGCCCAGAGGAGCCGAAAAAGAGGGGAACAAAAAGCCCTTCCCGAACCCAAAGCCTCGAGCCTGCCCGCCCCTCCTGCTGGCTGGAACCAGTGCTGGGCCACCTCAGACGGCTCCGAGTTGCACGCTTCTCGGCCGGCTCCCTCCTGGCCGCCGAGGCGCGCCGCGGCGGCCGCGAGCCCGCCGCCGCTGGCGCGGGCGCGGCTCGCCTCCCTGCTCGACCTTCGGGGCGAGCACGCCGAGGCTGGTCTCGGCCAGCTGGGCAGGGCCGACGATCGATGGGCCTGTTTCATACCACCACCACCATAAGTTGGAGGGGGAGGGGGTCCTCCTCCTCCTCCTCCTCCTCCTCCTCCTTCTCTTGGTCCTCTTCCTCGTCCTCCACCTCCTTCCCCCCTCCAACTTATGGTGGTGGTGGAACACAGGCCTATCAGACGATGGCCGGCTAGCGGCGGACGGTCGGCGTCGGAGGGCGACAGATGATCGACGATTGCGATGGGCGATGATGGGCTCGGTCGCACATCATGGGAGCCGGATCTTCCCTCGCAGTGCCGTCTGGAGTGGCTTGCCGTCGGTTCGCATGTGGCAACCGATGGGAAGGAGGGCGCTGCTTTAGCGTCGAGCCTCCGACGCCGCCCCTGGCGCGCGCAGCGCGCCAGGGGGGACTCAGCGCAGCTCAAGAAACCCATGCGGACTTGCAAAAGTATAATGTTTATGCCGTTCTCTTGTTTCTCCAGCCGACGACTGCGATAGACGACGACGGCGATGGACGACGATAGCGACGACGATCGGCGACGATGGACGACGATGGGCTCCAGCAGGCCAGACGAGGGCAATTCGGGGGGGAGAACATTCCGGAGCCGATGCCCTGCCCCCGCTTTCGACTTTCGGGGCCTCCCAGCGGGCCCTCGTCGCCATGGCCAGATCCGCCTCGGAATCCTCGTCAGAGCGCATCCCGTCGACGATCGACGATGGGCTGTCGGCGGCGGACGATCGACGACACACGACGGGCGACCACCACGATGGACGACGACGACGACGACGACGACAATGGACGACGACGGACGACGACAGAAGACGATGACGACGGTGGACGACGACGACGACGACGACGACGACGACGACGACGACGACGACGACGACGACGGCGGCGACGACGACGACGACGACGACGACGATGACGACGACGACGACGACGACGACGACGACGACGACGACGACGACTACGACGACGACGATGGACGACGAAAGGCGTCGACGACGATCGCGGATCGAGGCTTTCGGGCGTCCTGACCCTTCCCGAGAGCCCCCAGATGCCAGATTCCGCATTGAAGTTGAGCTCAGAACTTGGCCCGAGAAATGTCTGGGGATCGGTTGGAGGAATGAGGAGGAGGAGGAGGAGGAGGACCCAGCAGGCGGTCTGAACATGTCACGCTGGAGCTTTTCCCTCCGTTTCGGCCTCCAGCTGGTAGATTCTGGGCCCTCCAGCGGGCCGTCAAGCGTCGATTTGAAACATGTCAGGCCAGGCTGGGCCCAATAGGGGTCCAGAGACCAGTTCTGATCGGCTGCGCGTAGGAGTGGCATTTCGCCGCAGTGTTTCGGCATTGATCGAGTAGAAAACGAAGGCAACGTTGATGTACCCCAAACTTGTTTTCGTTCGTAGAATCTCCAAGAAACATGTAAAAGGTTCGCAGATCCAGCGAAATTCTAAGTACTTTCGTAGATTCGAGAACATGTCAGCTTTAGCCTAAAGCTGGCATGTTTTCGAATTCTGAATTCTGTAGCCGATCTTCTTCTCGAACTGAGAATGTGCCCACCCAGACAAGTCGACTGAGGAAATGTGCATTGGTCACTCGACACCAGCATTCGAGTGTACCGGTGCAGTCCCCAGTCGGCTTCGCTAATCGACGTGCGTTTCGTTGGATACATGTGGTTGCTATTCTGGACGTCGGCTAGCTTCCCCGCTCGCGTGCGCTACATAGTGCAGCGCCGTGCGCACGTGCGCAGGTGGAGTGCCCCTGGCAGCTTTCACTAAGGCGCGTTTTGCTAAAGGGGGCTCTGCCCACCCTCGAGGTGTTCGTTGGCGCGGGCCCAGTGGTCCCCCGAACACTGGCCTGCGCGCTGGGGTTGGGCCTCCCCGCGGCCCCCTGAAGCCACACACCAAACCCTGAGATCCTGGCGTCTCAATTTTTTCGAGCCAGGCGTTTTCGCTTCCTGTTCGGGCCCTGGGACCCTCGCAGATCGATCCAGTTCGAAAAATGGCGCAGAAAGATGGTGTCCAGGGCTCTGGGCGTGATTTGTCACGATGTTGCAGTTTTTTTCGCTGCGTCGGATCTCAGGGAAGGGTCACTCTTGCCAAGGGTCGCTCCCCAGACCCCCGACGTCAGGACTGTTTTATAGCGTCGCCCCCCAAGGTCTCGAACCATTCCCCCAGACGGGTTCTTCATCCTGCGTCGTTTTTTGACGCTCCCGAAGCCCGGCAAGGGCCCCATAGATTGAAAATAGGATAAAATTTCCCGTCATGACTTTTCATGACCCGCGGGGGTCTGGGTCGCGCTTGTAGCCGAGTCTAGCGGAGTTCGCGGTCCGGCGAAGTGCGCCCATTTGTCCAGACTTCGGCCTCTCCGCCCCCTCCTCACGGTGCACGCCGGCTGGCGGGACTTGGAGGCCATCATGCCCACATGACGACGTCGTCGTTTTGGGGGATTCTGGGGGGTGCCGGGTGCTCTGGTAGCCGCGGTTGGGCGCGGTTCAGAATAATGGCCAGGATGAACCGTCGGGGATGGTCTTGGGATCGATGTTGAAATTCTCCTTCTTCTCGTCGACACTTCCTCCTCCTCTCGTATGGGCATTCCAATCCACTCCAATCCCTCCTCCTCCCTCCTCCTCATCCTCCTCCTCCTCCTCCTCCTCCACCTTCTCCTCCCTCCTCCTCCACCCTCCTCCTCCTCATCCTCCTCCTCCTACTTCTCCTCCTCCACCCTCCTCCTCCTCATCCTCCTCCTCCTACTTCTCCTCCTCCTCCTCCTCCTACTTCTCCTCCTCCTCCTCCTCCTCCTCCTCCTCCTCCCGCCCATCCCTCCCCCACTTCTGCCCCCGACCTCTCCCACGCCGCCCGTGCCCCGACACGTCACGCGTAACTGTGCGGCTCCCCTTTTTGAGTTACGGAGGCAGCATCAGCAGCGACTGACGGAGCCCAAGGGCGCTCCACCCAGAGTCTCGCGGCGTGGCGGCGGATCTTAAGCCAGAAAAGGCACTGGAAAGCAGAATGCTGCACATGAAGGCGCAGTGCTGCGTATTGGCTTTGGCCGTCTGGGCCTCTTGGGGCTCTCTTCGGGCCTCTTTGGGCTCCTGGGGGCCGCTGGCGGCGTCTTGGAGGCCTGCTGGGCTGTCTTAGTGGCGTCCTAGGGCTTCAATTGGCATTCTGGGCGCAGAGAACGGTTTTGGCACTCCCGCCCCTTTGCCCAAGCCGGCAACACATACCCAGCGGCAGAGTTTTTTCAAGAGGCAGCCACTTCCCCTTTCGATGTTCCCCTCTCCGCCTTTTCTCCCTCCGCGTCAGCGTCTTCGTCTCACCTGGCAGGAGCGGGCGAGAACGGTCCCGCGGCGGGATCGCTTACCGCATCCCATTGTCCCGATCACGTTGGTGGCACAATTTCTGACGTTACGATCTTGCCACTGTGGTCGTGGCGCAGGGAGCAACACGTCCCACTTCGATGCCCTCCGCGCTTCGGCGCGACACGCTACCCACGTCCGAGCCTCAGCGACGAGCCTCAGCGCCCCGAGCCTTTCCCAGCCTCCCGCCCCCGTCTTGCAGAGCACAGCAGGTGGCCGCGGCCACGGCCACCGCCACCGCCATAGGCTGAGCAAAAGTTGCCGACGATAGGAAAGCCAGGCACTCCCCTTCTCGATGCTCATCGGCTATACGCAAGAGTGACCCTGGGCAAGAGTGACCTTTGGTGCGCGTCTTGGTGGGGGCCGCGGGGGGACCAAACCTGGGCGCGCAAGCAGCTGCCGCTGCTGCGCTTTCAGCCATCTGGGAGCCCATCTGCGCCCGCACCGAAGGTCACTCCTGCGAAAGGTCACTCTTACGTCTAGTCGAGCTCATTTCTGACTCTCGCGCCAGCGTCCGATGGTACGCCGCTGCACGCGGCGCGCGTGCAGAGCGCAGCTCCTGGCCGCGGCTCCCTCCCGCAGGCGCTCTCCGTGCTGGACGGCGCGGGGGGCGGCGAGGCGCGCCGGCGTGCGGAGTCGATGAACGGGGGGCGGTTGCCGCTTTTGACGGGCGAAGAGAGCTGTGCACATACACCAGGCTTCGGAGGAAGAGGAAGATGTTCAGGAGGGAGCAAAAACACACACACAGGCACAATCAATCGTCGATCCCCAGAGAATATGGACAAATATGGGAAGTGGGGGGGGAAGACGAAAACCCTCCAAATATAGGAACATATATGGGAATCCTTTTATTTGTGTGTATTCATTTGTGTGTCCCTGGGCCCCTAGAGAGGTACCTGCACCGCTACGTTTCCAGGGTCCCCCGAGAGGCCCTCGTCGCCACGGCTGGATGAGCCTCGTGATTCTGGTCAGAAAACGCCCCTGGAGAGGTCCAGGGCAGCGGTGTCAGTGTCTTTTGGTTTCTCCAGATCTTGGCCAGGCCAGTCTTGGAACCAGGATTTGCGTATGTATGTGCCTCCTTGCATGGTCGAGCCAGGACGGCGTATGCGCCGATGCTTGGCACGGGATGGATCTGGCCAGGATCGGTGTATGTGCATAGCTCTATTCCCTTTTTATGTTATTATGCCTCATGCTGTCTAGAAGGGTCTGGGCGGGCTTCCGCCCATCAAGGTGGGGCGCTCCAGGGAGGGCATCTCCCCCGAGGGCTCGGAGAGGTCGGCATTCCTTACTCGGGGGATCGCAGGTGGAAGCAAGACAATGGCAGCTCCGTCTGCGGAAGCCGATGAAAGGCTGGCGGAAGTAAAGCATGCGCCATTAAAAGATGACGTATCATATGGGGTCAGGGTTTCCTGAGTGGTCCGTCAGCGAACAGCAACCTGCTCTTTGTATTATTGTGTCCCGGGCCCACTTTGGCTCAGGCAGTCTTGGCTTTCTGTTTGTTCGAGCTGATTGAGCTCGTTGCTAGCGTTTGGCCACACATGCCACAAGCAGAGCATTCAGAACCAGGCTTGCAGAAGAGACCACCAACCCATGCTGCAGATACTTACACATGCCAAACAGCAAGAGTCCCGACCAAGTCTTTTCACCCTCGCTTCTGCTATGAAGGACTCTGGGAGGACAAGAAGCTGGAGTGCGGCCATGAGTTTGTTCCGAGAGTGTTCGCAGTCCAGTATGCAAACCGATACTGTTCTGTATGCAGTCGCGATCAGCACGTGTGGAAAATGCAAGCAGTGGCAGCAGGCCGTGTCATTGCTCAACGAAATAGAGGAGGTAAAATTGGAACCAGGAGCCATCAGCTGCAGCACCGGAATCAGTGCGTGCGAGAGGAGTGGACAATGGCAGTGGGCTTTGTCGCTGTTGAAGCACATGTGGAACTTGGAGCTGGAGCACGATGTTGTCTGCTGCAGCGCTGGAATCAGCGCGTGCGCGAAAGGCGAAAAGTGGGAGCATGCACTGTCGCTGTTTCACGCAATGGGGGAAGCGAGATTGAAACCAGACGTCTTCAGTTATGGAGCTGGAATCAGCGCATGTGAGAAAGGGTTGCAATGGCAGCTTGCGCTGATGTTGCTCAGGAGAATAGGAGAGTCTACGTTAGAGCCGAGCCTCATAGCGCATAATTCTGCCATCAGTGCGTGCGAGAAGGGCGGCCAATGGCAGCAGGCACTGTCCCTATTGAGGGAGATGCGGGAAGTAGCCTTGGAGCCAGACATCATAAGCTTTAGTGCCGGGATCAGTGCACTGGACAGAGGTGAGCAGTGGCAGATGGCGTTGTCATTTTTCAGGGAAATGTGGGAGATTAGATTGAAGCCAAACGTTGTCGAAGACGCCTACGGCGAGTCACCGCCAGCCCCTGCTTCTCGTTGGGCCCCACTTTGGCTAAGGAGCTCGGGCCCCTAGTATGGTGTGAGGTGTTGTGGCCTAGGGAGCGGGGATCTAGCGTTTCTCGAGGAAGGAATCGTACCGCTGGAAGCGAGCGTCCACGCAAGTTTGCACGTGCTCGTGCCCGCGGGAGCACTGATTCATGGCTCATGAGCAGTGGCGTGGCCATGGGAACACGGGTCCAACATGCGTGCGTTTTGCCAAGGGTCTTGGCGTTGGCAGCGCCGATCCGCTTCATGTCCGCAAGTGTTGTGGCCCTGGGTAAGTGGAGAGAATATCGTGACTGGCCGGGACGTTTGTGAGGCACAAGTCATTGAGCTTAGCGAACCCCCTTGATTTCCGGGCAGTAAATGCGACCCCGGCAGTACGTACTCAGGAGAGGCGGACTGCTCACACATCCCACCACCGTCCAAGCGATGCGAATCCCCTGTGAACGGGACGGGGTGGGCACAGGAGGCCACCAAATGGCAACCCCCACCCGAGTCGGGCCCATCATAGGTTTGTGCGTGGGGTGAGGCACTTTTTGGCCCCACGGATGAGCAGCACCTGCTCGTCCACGCTCGAAGGGATAGCACCATACGCGTTCCGCCCATCATGGATTTCAATAGCCTGTTTTGGATGCAAGAAGTTCTGATTGGCACTACCATCCAACTTCCCGCATATCGCCGTCATAGTCTGTCAGGAATCACGGCACTTTGATCATGGATCTTTAGCCAGGGATCGTGGTTTTGGGATCGATGGCGCAAAATGTGTTGCAAGGTTCGTGGCATACGGAACGCGATCTTTTGACCCAGGTTCCTTATTACGTTAAGCGAATGACGCGTGGACCCATCGTGTTCTTCGATGGGCCGTTGCACTGGAGGCGCGAGCACAGATTGTTTGCCGAGGGGTCGCGGCCCTGCGATTACAGGCCTGATGCTTGATCGGAGGACTTAGAAGCTCAGGTGGCCCCGTTCTCGGACCGGGAAGGGCTCGAGGCAGGACGGGACGCGCAAAGCGATCTTCGCTTGAGTTCAAGAGCGTAGTCAGTTGAGGGGAGAGCATTCGCCGTACCCGTATCCAAACAGAGGGTCAATCCACGGATTCCTAAAACAGGGCGAGAGGCCCTCAGGAGGTCCCAGGACGCCTTCAGCAGGTCCTCGGGAGCCCAACATGTTCAACGAAGCTTGAGAGAACTCACGACAAAACCTTAGCCAGGCCTCAAAGAAGCGCAAAGAAATGTCCAAACTGCAGCAAGCAGCAATACGCAGCAGTAGACAAGAACCAGCAGCAAGCTGCAGCGAGCAGCAGCGATGAGCGCTAAGCAGCAGCAGGTAGCCGCAAGTTGCAGCGAGCAGCAGCAGCCGCAGCAAGCGGCTCGAGCAGCAGCGCGTCTCATGCCCGAAGTAGTGAATCAGTTGTCGGCCAGCGTGTACCCCGATGAGTGCGTCATTCCTGTGTGAAAGCAGAAGCTATGCGGTGAAAGCTATTTCGTGCAAGCTATGTGGTGTGAGCTGTCCACCACCACTGAGCCGAGCATCCAGCAGGACGCGTGGGCAGAAGAGTGCGCAAGTGGCAACTCTTCGATAACATACAATAAGGACGACGGCGCGGAGACTCGACTGTGAAGCAGAAGCAACAAGCGTCACAGGCGCGAGCGCTTCGCGACTGTGAAGCGGAAGCCACAGCGCCCGATTGTGCAGCCCAAGTTGAATTGGTCGCAGGCTTGGAGCACAGGAAGGAGGGAGGAGGCGGGAGGGAGGGAGAGGGAAGGGGGGAAGAGGGGAGAGCAACGTTGCAGATAACTACACCTGTCAGGTAAGCGACTGCACTCACGAAACCCACTGCTGTCGGGGCCGGCCCCTCTGGCGGCGCGCTGACACATCTCTAAGCATCCCTTTTTTGTTTTTCGTTAAAAGCTAGACGCTTTACAACTGAGCTCGCGTCATAATCAGCAATTATATATTACAGTTTCTTTTGGCTAGGAAAAATAATTTGCGACAGCGGTTTCGCTGAGGCCTTCTGCAACACGCTCGCATTACTCACCCTGGAAATGTATGCCGATGGGATGCCTAAAATACGGCTCAGACTTTTGCAGTGGAAGGCGTCCAGACGAGCACGATCTGTTCATGGCAACCACAGAGAATCCAAGGAATAGTAAAGCTTCCTCAAGACCACACTGTCGTAGATCTTGCATTTTCTTCGCCATCCAAGAGACGACCGTGGCCAAAGTCGATCGACTTGTTTGAATGTGCTGGCTGCTTCTCCCAATCTTCTGGACACTTCAGCTGCTGCTTTCCCATCACACGATACCACGCCCCCTAAGTATGTTGCGTCCCGCACTGTTTTTTATATCATAGCCGTCTAGTCTCGTTACTTTCTGTATGTGTGGAAATCTGAATTTGGACTGTGTTCCCCCGGCTGAGCTCCAAGCCATACGTGCGCCCTTCTTCCACGATTGCGTTCAGCATGGCCTGCAGGATCGCTTGACATTGCGATACTTACCACGTGTCTCGCCAGCATATAGGATATCCCGGGTAACCACACACGCAGGTTCATTTACAAGAGGTAAAGAATCGATCGCGTCGTGCAGCATGACCGTCTGCATTGCGATGAACACATACGGAGACAGCAGACAGACACCCTCGCGTGATCCCAGCGGTTTGTCTCGTCTCCGTAGAGCTACCAGTGTGGTCCAGGATGGTGAAGAAGCGAGCTGCGCAGATGGAGCGTATAATGTCCACGATGCCGCAGGGTAGGCCGAATCGTTGCAGGGCTTTGCACATGACCTCTGGCTGGATTATGTCAAAGGGCTTTTGCCCAATCCAACATTAGTACCAATATGCCCGCACTGTTGTTGATACGTGCGGCATCGATCATTCGCCTGACAAGCATGAGGGCGTCTGCGGTGCCGCGCCCAGTCCGAAAACCATATTGTGAGTTACGCATGCGTTCTTCGGAGCCCCCTTGAAGCAACCTCTGATGCATGAGTGTCGCCATGATTTGTATCCAACTGAAAGCAACGAAGCAGGGCGGTAGTTCTCTTTTCATGAAAACGTAGCACCACCTTTGCTATGTTCCCAAGATTCTGGCCCAACATTGTTGGCAGAGCCTCAATAAGACGGCAGTGGCGCTTGTATCGTGCATGAGGACTTCCCAGAAGTCAGGGGGGATGTTGTCGGGGCGGGTGACTTGTTCGAGCTTCAGTTGTGATGAGGGGGTGGCAGGGGTGATGACGACGTTACTGCCGCTGATGATGATCATGGTGATGATGATGACGATGATGATGATGCTGCTGTTGATGATGTTGATGGTGGTGGTGTTGGTGGTGATGGTGATGGTGATGGTGATGGCGATGGTAATTAGGAGAAGCATGAGGAGGATGAGGGTGTGAATGTGAGTATTAGGAGGAGGGTGATGATACTGATGATGATGACGATGACGAGGGAGATGATGTTGATGATGATGATTACGATGATGATGATGATGACTATTATGATTATGATGTTGATGCTGGGGATGATGATGAGGATGAGCAGAACGAGGAGGATGAGGAGAGCGATGGAGGAGGATGAGGATAAGGATGAGGATGGTGATGATGATGAGGACGAGGATGCGGAGGCGAAAGAGGATGCTGCTGATGATGATGATGATGATGATGATGATGATGATGATGATGATGATGATGATGATGGCGTCGACGACGACGACGATGCTGATGATGCTGTTGATGACGACGACGATGACGCTGATGATTACCATGACGTTGATTATGATGACGATTGTGATGCTGATTGTGATGGTGATGATGGTGATGATGGTGGTGATGATGATGACGGCGACGATGATGATGATGATGATGATGATGATGATGATGACGATGATGGTACTAATGATGAGGAGGAGGAGGAGGAGGAGGAGGAGGAGGAGGATGACGACGACGACGACGACGATGATGATGAAACTCGTTTGGGCCGCCTTGGGGCTGTCTAGGCCTCCTGTGAGGCAGTCTTGGGGGTTCCTTGGGGCCCTCTTGGGCCGTCTTGAGACCCTCGCACGCCGGCTCGACACTCTCTTGGGCCGTCTGAGGGCCCTCTTGGCCGTATGGTGGGTGTCTGAGGGCCGTCGTGGGGTCGTCTTGGCGCCGTCGAAGGGCCACCTAAGGCTGTCGTGGGTCCACGGGAGGCCCCCTCGGGCCGTCTTGGGGACGTCTTGGATGCATTTTGGACCGTCTTGGAGTCCTCCGGGGCCGTCTTGAGCTGTTGGAAACCCGAACAGGCGAGAATGCGAAAATCACGCAAATCCAGCGAAATTAATGATTGTGGCTTCTTTGGGCCCTCGTGGAGTTCCTCTTGTGGCAATTTTGGCCCCTCCTTGAGGCTCCTTGGGCCGTCTTGAATCAATGATCGGCCGCATTGGGACCATCTTGGGCCGCCTTCGACGCATCGTGGGCCATGTCGGTGTCCTTGGTTGCCTGCCCGGGCCGCCTTGGAAGCTCTGGACGCAGATCAATAGTTTTTGACGGGGGATCGTGGCTTGGGAGGCCATGGAGCGCTTGGGAGCAGCGCCTGGGAAATGCGGGAAGTGCACGATCCTCGAGCGGGTGCGCGTGGGATGAGGTGTCTAGGAATTAGCAGCCATGTGGGAAGGGCACGATTCTCGAGCGGGCGCGCATTGAATGAGGATTCAGGCATGAGCTGCCTTTCGGGAAGTGCACCATCCTCGAGCGGGCACGCGTGGAAGGGGGGGTCAGGCAGTAGTTGCCGCGGGAAGTGCACCATCTTCGAGGGGACACGCGTGGAACGGGTGATTCAGCTTTAGCTGCCGTGCTGTGTGCTCGAGCGGGCTCGAGGAAAGCCCGGGGATGGGCCCGGAGTCGCGGGTAGAGGGATGCATGCAGGAGTCCGCGGGTAGACGGAGGGGCGGCCTCTTATTGGAATTCAAGAACCCTGCCAGACAGACTGCCTCAACGTTCCAGGGGGTACCGTGACGGATCTCGTGTGAGTTAGGCGGTGTGAAGTGGATGTGTGAGCCATGGAAGTGCAAGTTGAATCATGTAAGCTAGTTGTGTACTCTATACGGTGTAGGATATGCAGTGCAAGCTATGTGGCGAAATCTAAGTCGTGCAAGCTCAGAGCACGGGGCGCCCACGAGGCGGCGCGGGCGGCAACGCAACCCTGGTGTACCCGCCCAGCGCACGGGGCGCCCACGAGGCGCCTAGGAGGCGGCACGTGCGGCAACGTGGCACAACCTCGACATACCGCCCAAGCGCGGGACGCCCACGGGGCGCCCTCCTGGCGGCACGTGCAGCAACGCGGCGACATCCGGGTATACCCAACCCATCTGTGCAAGGCAGTAGGATAAGAACGATAGAGAGCAATCATTGTTTGGGGAACGAACAGTGGCCTTCTGACGCAAAGAGGCGTCCAAGATGACCGGAGAGTGCCGCCTCGCTACACACGATGTCTCCTTGAGGTTCTGAGTTCTGAGAACGGCTTCTGCAGGCCTCCAAGTCTCCAAGATCGAAATGGAGGCTTCACGAAGCTCACGAGATGCTCGAACGGAAATTTCAAGAGACCCTAAGGGAGACCTTGGACAGCCAAGTTGTTTGAACAACATGTGCCACTCATTTTGAGAAGTTTATGCAGTTTCTTGGCTCATCCAGGGAGGGATCCAGGACGGCGCAACGAAGCCTAGGACGGCCCAAGCCCAAGCCAAAACGAGGGGGTCCCCAAAATTGCCCAAACTAAGCAGCATGGGCATCCTGAGAGGGCCCAACGATGATTCAGAAGACTCCAAGGGGACTGTTGCGCACAGCGACGTTGTCCATTGATGGATCGTGGCCCTGGGAGCGGGGATCCAGCGTATCTTGTTAGTGATGGTGGCTCTGGGAGTGTGGACCCATTTTGCGTTACGAGGGGGTCGTGCCCGTGCAAGTACGGACCCGCCGTACATTTCACGGGATCGGGTCTCGGGGAGACCGCGTCCGGTGCACTTTACCAGGAGATATGCGCCGCGGCCTGAAGCGCAGGACCACATTCTGTTTCAAAGGATCGTGGCCGCGGGTGGGGGGGCACGGACAGATTGCAGTTTGGAAGGCATCTTGGGTTTGTGGGCGAGGAGTTTTTCGTTCGTTTGCGAGTCTCTGGGCATCCAGGGGCTGAGACTACATGGTCAGGCAGTGCCGCAATTCTCCGATTTGCCTTTGGAGAGTCGCAAGCGCTCCGTGCAACTGAACACATAGAAGTTGTGATCTTATGGAGCTCGTATCAGGGAATTCAGCTCAAGCCGTTACTGCTCCGTCGTTATGTTGCAGGGAGTGTTGAGAACTTGCTCTTTTGCCTTGATAACCTCAGCTGCACAGCCTAGGGGATCAGCGGATCAGCTACGGTGCTGGGGTCAGCGCGTGCGCGAATGGCGGGAAGTGGCAGCATGCACTAGCGTTGCTCAAAACATCGAGTGAAGCCAAACTAGAGGTCAACATCATGTGCTACAGCGCTGGAATCAGCGCGTGCGAGAAGGGTGGGCAGTGGCAGCAGGCGCTGTCGCTACTGACACAGGCCAGAGGATCTGTTTTGGAGCTGGATGTCGTCAGCTACAGTGCGGTCATCAGCGCGTGCGAGAAGGGCTGCCAGTGGCAGCAGGCGCTGTCGCTGCTCAGGGAGCTGTGCGCAGCGAGGCTGCAGCCCGACGTCGCCAGCTACAACGCCGCGATCAGTGCGTGCGAGAAGGGTCGGCAGTGGGAGCAGGCGCTGTCCCTGCTGGGGGAGGCGGAGGCGAGGGTGGGTGCAAGCATCTTCAGCTACAATGCCGGCATGAGCGCCTGCGAGAAGGGCGGGCAGTGGCAGCGCGCGCTGTCCATCTTCGGGGACATGCGGGAGGCGGAGGTGGAGCCGAACGTCATGAGCTACAGTGCAGGGATCAGCGCGTGTGAAAAGCGGAGCCAGTGGCAACAGGCATTGGCGCTGTTCAGGGGAATGTGTGAGGATGTTCTGGATCCTGATGACATCAGCTACTGTGCTGTTATCAGCGCGTGCGACAGGGGCGGTCAGTGGCCACACGCGCTGTCGCTGCCCGGCGACCTCAGGAGCACGAGGTTTGAGCTGAAGGTCATCAGACAGTGTCAGTCTTGGAGTCGGCGCCTTCGAGAAACACGAGGAGTGGAAGGCAGCCTTCTCTTTACTGTGGCGATTGCGCGTTTCGAGGTTGTTCTGGATTTTGACCTCCAGACGTCTCCAGAGGTCCACGGAGATTCCTGGACGACCTCCCGAGGCTTCTGATGGCTCCGAACCCAGGGTCCTGCGATCCGCGAGGAGCGATGGCGAAGCGTAGCAGATCAGTTATCAGGCCTGCGCGGCACAGCGACGTGATTTTGGGCAGCTCGCGCTGCTATCGGTGAAGGTGGTCCCCATCAGGCCTGCGAGGAGGGAACCCGTAGGCTCCAGTTCGAGGGTCAAAGCTACCACAGGTTGAGGAGCGAGAGGAGGACCAGCAGCAGGATGAGGAGGAGAAAGAGAAGGGGAAGAGGAAGAGTAGGGGAAGGGAGGGACAACAATGAGCAAGGCGGAAGAGAGATGATGATGATGATGATGATGATGATGATGATGATGATGATGATGATGATGATGATGATGATGATGATGATGATGATGATGATGATGATGATGATGATGATGATGATGATGATGATGATGATGATGATGATGATGATGATGATGATGATGATGATGATGATGATGATGATGATGATGATGATGATGATGATGATGATGATGATGATGATGATGATGATGATGATGATGATGCTGATGATGATGATGATGATGATGATGCTGATGCTGATGCTGATGCTGATGCTGATCATGATGATGATGATGATGAGGAGGAGGAGGAGGAATGATGACGCACGAAGAGCCATGGGGCTTGGCGAAGGCTTCGAGAATTCTTCAAGTTGGCCCCCAATGAATCCTCCGTAGCCGCTGTGGCTCAAGTCTCAAGTCATGTTGGTCTCATGTTATCCGTGATTTCATGTGGGCCGCAAGAGAAGTCATCCAGAACCAAGCAATTGCCGTGGGCAGCGCATCATAGCTGGCATGCCTAAGCGAACAATCAATTGCATTCGATTCTGTCAAGTTGACGCGTTCACAGCCGAACCTTTCTCAGGGAATCCGGCGGGCGTGTTCATCATCGACGAGTTGAATAACCAGCACATGCCGGACGAGCGCAAACAGAAATTTGCGTTCGAACAGAATTTGTCAGAATGCGCATTCATTACACTGCGAGGTACACGGAATCCTTTCCTCCAGTGGTTCACGCCGAACTTCGAAATCGATTTGTGTGGGCATGCCACGATTGCCGCCAGCCACGCGTTCTTTACCATGGTGGTTGGCCTTGCAAAGGATGGTCTCGGTTCAAGTTCGCAAGAGGTGACATTTGATACCAAGTGGGTCGGGCAGTTGAAGATTATGAAGCCAGATCTCCAGGAACCTCGGTATTGCATGTGTTTCCCGTATCGTCCAGGGCGCAGCATCGATGTAAACGACAAGGGCATGTTACCGGATTGGTTGTTGGCTGGAATATTTAATAAACAGCCAGGTGAAGAATACCCGAGACCGATTGCCGCAACGCGCTCGAGAGATTTGATCTTGGTGTATGAGGAAGCGTCCTCAGTCCAAACCGCCGACGTTAATTGCAGCTTGTTTCGCGAGAGAAATGTAGAAATGGTGGCAGAGGACTTGCAGTACGGCTTCAAGAAACAATATTACGAGTGTGTGATTGCAGTAACGGCCAAGGGAGCGGGTGAGTACGCCGACTTTGATTTTGTTTCTCGAGTTTGGTGTCCTGATGACGTCAATATCGAGGAGGACCCCGTAACGGGGAGTGTGCACAGCACCCTCGCACCAGTTTGGAGCGTCATCCTTTCGGCGGGAGTTGGTACCGCGAAGACAAAGATGAAGGCCAAGCAGATATCGAAGAGGGGCGGCGAACTGGAACTCGAGATTGTGGCGAACCACAACGCATGTAAGTCGGAAGCCTCATATTCGAAGTTCGACGACCCCAGCCACAAAGTCCTCATAACGGGGAGTGCTGTCACTGTATTGCGAGGAGAAGTGGAGTGTTGACGACAAGAGGTGGACACACAAAGATGTATGTATACACCGAGGAGGATACAGCATTGCCCCACAGGTTCCTTGCTGTCACTCTTGGCGCCCCTCGAAGCCCTCTTCAGCCCCTCTTAGGGCATCATTGGGGCATCGTCGGGCTGTTGGAGGATCCTCAAGAGCGCCCCAAAGGGCCCCTGACGGAACCTGCCTGTTGTGATTTGGCAGGTTCCGTTTTGGGCCTTTTTGGGGTTCTTTTTGGTCCCTCTTGGGACCCTCTTGAGACCCCCTTCGGGCGCGACGCACAAGGACCCCATTGCGTGTGTGTGTGTGTGTGTGTGTGTGTGTGTGTGTGTGAGTGCGTGTTTGTGTGTTTGTGTATTTGTGTGTGTGTGTGATTGGTCGTTGGGCCGTCTTGCAACCCTCCTGGAGCCCTGTTGGGGACCTTCTCGGGGCCATCTCTGAGCTCTCTTGGATCTTCCCAACGGGCACCGAACTCGTCATCAATTTTCCATACTCGCCGAGACCATGCTGACGATACATGCGTCGCTCGAACAACTGGTTGGTGGTCCTCTGGTGTAATTTCGCAATGGGGGGGGTCCAGGGGACATTGTCCATCCTTTTTCTTCAGGCCTCCCCAGCACAAGACTCCCGGGGGAGAGTTATTGAGAGGACGGAGATTGTCCACCACTTTTGTTCATACAGTCTCCCTTGCCTAGAGCATAGCGGGAGGGGGCGGGGGAGGGATGTGTTGGTCATGCGTTCCCTGGGGGCCTCGAGATTTGATAGTCCCGCTGTCAATCGTCGTTGCACCTCGTCGGTTCGGTTTACACTTCCAGTCGATTCCCCCCTTCTTCGCCTCAGCCTCGCCCTCATCCTGAGTGACGTGCTCGTCCTTTTCGCTCTTCTCATCCATCCCGCTCTCCCTCCCTCCCTCCCGCCCGTCCCCCCCTTCTCCCCATATCCCTTTTCTTCCCGCCCTGACCCTCCTGCGATCTCGACCCATGGCAGGCCACGCTTCTGGATCCGCGTGCTTCGTTGCCGTGGCCGCCCCCTTCTGTTCCCCCCCCTCCGCCGCCTTCCCCGGGTCATCGTGATCCTCGTGCTCTTCCAGCTCCTGCTGCTGTTCTTCCTCCTCGACCTCCTTCCTCATCCCATTATTCCTCCTTCTCATTCTCCTGCTCCTGCTCCTCCTCCTCCTCCTCCTCCTCCTCCTCCTCCTCCTCCTCCAATGTACACAGCTCCCCTTTTACACGTTGCGAATGGCACGGTCGGATCCTTCTGGAGTTCCAGGTCTGTTGCACCACCCGTCGGCGGATGGAGGAGGCAATCAGCAATGGGAAGGGATGGGTGGGAGCGGTAGGATGTCAGATTTGGCGCAAGCGCGTCCAGCTTGCCACTGTACCTCTTCCCGTCCTCCCCCTCCTCCCCATCCTCCTCCTCCTCCCCTCGTCTTCGCCCCCCCCCCTCTCTCCCTCCTCCTCCTCCTCCTCCTCCTCCTCCTCCTCCTCCTCCTCCTCCTCTTCCTCCTCCTCCTTCTCCTCGGCGGCCCTTCGCCGCGTTCTGAAAGACAGGACTGTCCTCATGCCTGCCTGCCGCCGCCGCCTCTTAGGATGTCTTTGTCGAAGACGAATGTTCTTGGTCGTGACCGCCTGCGTTTGCCCTTTTCGTATCTTAGAATATTGCCTCCTACTCCCTCCCTCTCCCTACCCTTCCTCCTCCTCTTCCTCCTTCTCCTCTTCCTCCTCCACCTTTCCTCCTCCTCTTCCTCCTCCTAATTTCCCCCCTCCTCCTCAACCTTCCATCCCTCCCTCCCTCCCTACCTCCCTCCCTGCCTCCGCATCCTCCTCCCTCTTCCTCCTCCTGCTCCCTCTTGGGCTTTGGCCCCTCGGCCGGCCGCGGCAGGCCTCGCGGCAGCCGGAGGAGAGGGCCGCCGCGGCGCTCCTGCGCGAGATGGCGTCGCGGCACGCCAGGCGCGCCCCGCCGAGCTCGCCTTCCCCATCCTCTTCAAGCCCCCCCTCCCCTCGTCCCCCCCTTCCTCCTTCTTCTCCTCCTGCTCCTCCTGCTGCTCCTCCTCCTGCTCCTCCTCCTCCTCCTGCTCCTCCTCCTCCTCCTCCTTTTCCTCCTCCTCCTCCTGCTCTTCTCCTCCTTTCGATCAGCTTTCGATATGGGTTCCGCAGCGCGCCGACGGCGCGCCGTAGCCCTTAGTTCGTCGTCCTGTTGTAGTCGACGAACGGGTCTTCCCTGGCTTTGCAACGGGCGCCCCTCCTTTGCTCGCGAGCTGAGGGACGCCCGACCTTCTCTTCTTCTTCTTTGCTGTCGAGCCGCCTCCGAGCTCAGGCTGAGCTGGCGGCCCCCATGTGTTACACGGGGTGCGGGCCGCTCCCCCCTTCGGCCCGAGGGCTGGGGGCAGCCTCGCCGTGGCGCACGGCGCGCCACGTCTTCTTCTTGTGGCAGGGTCGATGGCTGGCGTCGATGCTTCCGTCGACGCCGTCGCTCCTCTTGCTGGCCTCGGTGCTGGCAATGACGTTGCCGCCCTCCTGTGTCTGTCCGCGCAGCTGAGGACCCTGCTCCTGTCCTCCTTTCTGCGGGCGTCCGCGGTCGGGGGGCGCTGCCGAGGACACTGCTTCTGTCCTCCTTTCAGCGGCCTCCGTCAGCTTTTCATCAGGTCGCGCTGCTGAGGACTTTGCTCCTGTCCTCCTTTCAGCGGGCAGTCCGTGGCGTGGTTGTGGTCGTGGTTGACGAGATGGTGGCTCTGCGGTAGGTGGTGGGTTGGTCGTCGGACTCGTTGTTGGGGAGGTTGTGTCGTCCATCAGGTCTCCATATACCGACTTCAAGTGAGGTTCTAGGCTATCCCACCTCGTCCAGCTATGGCTAGGGGTCACAGTGCCCTCGGTGGGGGCGAACCCCAGACCTTGTGGTTGCTTGTCGTGCGTGCCTGTAGGTGGGTCGTTGGGAGGTCGGCTTGTTGCTGGTGTTGTGATGTGGGTTGTGGGCGCACTTATGAGGCCTCCATGCACCGACTTCAAGTGGGGTTCGTGGCGGCCCCACCTCGTCCCGCGATGGCTAGGGGTCACAGTGCCCTCGGTGGGGGCGAACCCCCGGCCTTGTGCTTGCTTCTGTTGTCGGTGAGGGATGTCTCGGCTGCCCTCCGCTTCGCCCCTTGGGCGCTCGGGTAAGCTCCGTCTCCGCCATGGGGGTGGTGGGGGTGGCGAGCTAGGGCGGACCGCGGGGGCGCGGGTAGTGGCCGTCCTACCCCCCCCCTGCCCCTCACCATCCCCCCTGCTAGGCGCGGGCAGTACTCGTCCTGCCCCCCCACCCTTCGAGCCCGTCTCGAAGTTTGAACCTTGCCTCCCCAGGGCAGCCGAGTCGTGCACGCGTGTCGTTTGCTCGTCGGTACGTTGTGCTCCGTCGTTACCTTCGTCTGTGTCGGTCCTCGCGTGAGCACTCCCCGTTCTGGCCTTTTCCGTCGGCGTCGGCCCCCGCCAGGCTGGTGGGAGACCCTCGCGGTCGCGATCGCCCTCTCGGCTGGAGGTGGCGCTTCGTCCTGAGAAGTGTCTTGCTGCGTCAGTCGAGACGGGGGTGGCTGGGCAACGCCCTATGCCTTGGCCGACTGGGCAGTGCCCTAGGCCTTCCTCGCAATCTACGTAGTACGCGTCGACGATGTTCAGGTTCTGGCTGGTCGGCGCTGCGCTTGCTGTTCTGAGACCCCATCTGGCCACAATGTTGCAGTCGAGCAGGTCGGCGATGGCAAAAGCGATCTCGGCAGCGTTTGCTGTCGTCACTCTGTTTCGCAGGTCGTCGCGGAGGCCGTTGTCGAGGATCTGTGTGGCGCCGAGGTCGTAGTGATGTGCCGTGGTCTCGCTGACCGTCATCTGCTTGGCCAGATGCTGGTATTCGGGAGTCTGTCTGCAGGTCGACTCGGCCGCGAGGGCGGCGACGAAGGGGGCGCGGGCGGTGGTCGCTGCGAAGAGCATCCGCAGGACCTCTCTGGTGGCGTTGTTGGCGGCGAAGATCTCGTCGGCGATAGTCTCGGAGGTGTCTGGCGGTCCCCAGGGAGCTTCTGGGGTGCGCCGTCTGCTGGCCCTGCTGCCCAGATCGTCGCCGGCGTCGTGGCGGTACCAGGTCCGTCGCGGGAACTCCGCGTAGATGGCCGCGATCTCGCCGTGCAGGATCTTCTGTTGTACTCGCCGAAGTTCTTGTGGTAGTGCTGGTGACTGGCCGTCGCTGTGGGTCGAGATCGAGCTGTAGTCCAGGCCGCTGCTGCATGTGGGCCCGCTGTTGGCCATGATCTGCTGGACGTCGGTGATGAAGACGACCTCCTGGCGCGCGGCTGGGCCGGCAGGCGTGCTCACAGGAGGCAGGCTGGGCGAGGACTCAAGCCTGGCGAATACTTTCGGTACCGCGGGCGACGTCTCCAGGAGCGGCAGCGGCGTGACATCGCACTGATAGGCTGGCTTGTCGCTGAAGGTCGAGTGGCGTCCTTGCTTCTTGTTGGCGGTCGTGGCCTCGGCGATGGCGTTGAAGTTCGCGGCGATCTGCTGCTCTGTCAGAGGCTCCATCGTCTGGTGGTGCCAGGCATGCCAGGATTTTCGGCAGCGGTGGGCCACCGATAGGTGCTTCATGAGCCTCGGGAACGTGTGGTGCTCGGTCTGGCAGCAGCGGCATGCAGTGCCGGTGGCCCAGAAGCGCGGGTCCGTGTGGTCGGGATGACCCCGACCCATGTGGACGGCCATGCTTTGCTTAGTGGCGGTACGGCCGCAAACGTAGCAGACGTACTTCTGGTTGTTGGTGCCGTCGTGCTGGTCGAGCTCGTCGGTCGGGGCCACTGCAGGGAGCATCTGGGTGTCCTTCTGGAGCTCGGCGTTCTGAGCCTGGTCGCGCGTGTGGAGCAGGTGGGCCTTCACCGCCGCCTTGACCGCATTGGTGAATAGCTTGGGCTTCTGTCGAGCCCATCTGATGACGTCGCAGTCGTACTGGGTCTGGCTGGGCCACCTTTCTCGCGGGAGGTACTTTCGGAGGAAGTCGAAGTCTTTCTTGAGCTGGCGGCCCCAGGTGCCCTTTCGTTGGCGCTGGCCGTCGAGATGCTGAAGTAGTGCGGCGGGGGCGTGGTTCAGCAGCCGTGGTAGGTGTCGTAAGCGCGCTGCAGTCTGGTGGGTGCTGAAGTCGGGGACGCCCGTCCTGGCGGCCGCCTCGGCGTCGGCGATGCGTTGATCAGGCGAGTTGGTCTTGGGCAGCGAGGCTGCCACGCGGCATGGTCCCATGTACTTGGCGGCGATGTGTTCGAAGTCCTTCTGAGTCAGGTCGCCCCAGACGTGGTGGTTGTAGGTCAGCGAGGAGGTCGAAAGCGAGTGGACGTACTTCACCTTGGCTTTCTTCGAGAGCTTCTTGCGGCGAAGGATCTGCTTCTCGAGAGGTCGGGCTGCCCCGAGCGCGCGGTTGACCCCTTGGGCAGATCTCGGGCCCCATAACCCCACCCGCCGCGATGATGGTCCCGAGGGCTTTCTGCTGGATCACGAGCTGCACCTTGATCGAGAGGCCTTCCAGCTCGAGGCGGGCGATGCCCTTCTTGGCGATTCGCTGTTTCTCCTTCCTGGCTCCCGCGCCGTAGTGCATGAGGATGGCCTTGGTCTTGTCGGGGCGTGGCTTCAGGCCGTGCTGGAACGCTGCCGCGCAGAGCCTGGTGGCCGATAGGGTCGTCGTCTGGAGCAGGTCGCCGGCGTTTTCGGTGGAATTGTAGTCCGTGAGGTCGTCTACGAAGGACATGTTCCTGAGCGCACTTCCATTGGGGGGCCGCCGAGAAGAGCGGTGCGCTACAGGCGTCGATCTCGTGGCCACCTGTCGGCTGGCCGTCGGCCTCGTCCGCTAAGGCGGCCTGGTCGATCGCCCTGAGCATGATGGCGAAGTGGGCGTTGAGGGCGACGTCGGAGTGCGGCACTCCAGGCCTGGTGCTGGTCCGAGGCAGCTGGTAGTGCTGGGCGCTCTTGGCTGCCATCCAGTTGGTGGCGCGGTGGTCCGCGATCATGTGGCAGAGGTGGTCGTCGTCGATGTGCTGGTTGTTGTAGGCAGGCTGCTGGAGTCGTTCCGTTAGCGCTGGTCTAAGAAAGACGGGGATCTCGATGCGTTCGATGAGGTCGTTGAGCTCGTCGGCGGAGGTCGGCAGCTGCATGCAGAACTCCCTGATGACTGAGCGGAAGGCCTCCCGAATGTCCAGGAAGGTGATGCTGCAGGATCTGGCTCTCTTTTGGCAGTCGCTGATGAAGGCGAGGCTGGTGTGGGTGATGAAGTCCGTCGCCATCTTGGGTCGGGCGCCGCACTGGGTCGCTTCTAGGAGCTCGGGTAACGGGCCCTTCACGCGCGAGCGGAGGAAGCCGCTGTGCATCTGACCGATGGTGTTGTTGAGCAGGATGCCGCGATAGGATTTCTGTTGCTCCATTACGCACTTCCCCTTGTGGAAGTGCGTGGAGTACCTGCCCTTGGCGGCGATCGGCTCAGTGCTCTCGAAGTGGATCTTGACCAGGGCGGGGTGAAGCAGACGAGCCATCCCTTCAGGGTCAGCTCTGGACATGTCGTCGGTGAGCCGGGGCCGCCTCTGCGTCCTCGCTTGGCGGCGGCGAGTTGGCTGGTCAGCTGGTGCTTGGGTATGATATTCTGGATATTCGGTTCTGGTCCTTCGCTGCTGGTGCGTTTGTTGTAGTCTGCGGCTACCCCATCGGCGTCCGTGGCGATGGCCTGCTCAATCTTGCCGTAGTCGGCTAGGGCGTGGTCGGCGATCTCGCTCTTCGTCGTAAGGGGCTTGCCGTCGTCGTTGCTGCGGATGGGGGGCGTCGGCGGCTTCTTGGGCTTCCGTCCTCCGAAGGCCAGGAGCCGCTTGGCGCGTAAGGCCTCCTCGCGCGGGGCGTGGTCGTCGATGGCGGTGCTCATCTCGTCGGCGGTCTTCTCGAGGAAGGCGTCGCGATCTCTCATGGTCCACTTCTGGAAGGTGGGCTTGGAAGTCCTGAGGAATTGAACGAGGGCGTCGAAGTAGTGCTGGGTATGGTCCGCAGTGCTGGCTGCGCCAGCTGCTCCGGCGCTACTCGCGAGGCCGGGAGTGCTGAAGACGAGGGAGGCCGCCACGAGCTTCGCGTAGTCGCTTAGGTCGGCCAAGAGTCCCGCATCGGCGGGGCCAGGTAGCAGGGCGTCCTTCGCGATGAGCTTGGCCGTGTAGCGGAGCGTCTTCGCGCCGAAGTAGCTGGTGACCCCGCTCTTCTAGGCGATCCGCGTCGTCTTGAGCAGCGAGCGGCGAGCCCTCAGGAGGGCGAATGAGCGCTTGGTGATGTAGGGCTTGTGCGGTGTGCGGCCGTGGGAGCGGAAGCACTCATAGGCGGCCTTCGTGATCTTCTCGGTGACGATGGTGAGGTGCTCGTTAAGATTGGTGGCCCAGGGCGGGCGCTGAACTGCGCTAAGCTTCTGGCTGAACTTCTTGCGGCACTCTTCGTCGGCAAGCTTGCTCTCGTCCAGCTTCGGGACGCCTTTAGTGACGGACGAGACAATCTCGCAGGCGAGCTGCAGCTTGACAGGGTAGTGGTCGTCCTTGGTTTCTGGATCCTGGCCGCCGTCGATGCCGTAGAGCACGGAGCACGCGTCGACTGAGTCGAGGTAGCTCTCGGGGATAATAACGTAGTCGATGCGGCGCGGGCCCTTGCCCGAATGCCAGGTATGGTGCCCGGGCCCGTGGCTGACGAAGGTATTGGCGGCCGCGAGTTGGTTGGTCAGTAGAAGTTCATGAAGGCGGCGGCCGTTGGGGCCCTCGTTCTGCTTGAAGCCCTGGTCGCCGATGGCCGCGCTGGTGACGTTGCCTGTCCTGGCATTGGCGTCGAAGAAAATGATGCCTACTTGGTACTTCTCGGTAGCCTCGGCGGGCTTATTCCAGTAGCGAACCTTCTCGGGCTCGAGGGCCTTCGAGTGCGGAGCGTGGGCGACGGCCAACGCGTGGTTAAAGCCAGGGGCCGTGACGCGGACGATGAGGAGCCTGGGGTCCTTTTCGATGACGGTGAACTGGTCGGGTTTGAAGTGGAGCTCTTTCTTGCCGCACTTGCCGCAAGGCTTGCTGAGCAGGACGTGCAGCTCGCAGCCGTACTTGAACCACTTGTGGCCGCTAGAGATGATGTGGTAGTTGTTGGCGTTGGCGCATCTGGCCTCGTCGTCCTGCTTCGCGCCGCGCACGCCCCAGGGCGCCCTGGCCTCCTGGGTACCGATGATGTGGAGGTCCTCGTCGTACAGGCTGGCCATCGTGGCCTTGAGCTGGTTGGTCTTCTCCTTTCTTCGCTTCGCTCCTTCCTTGGGCTCCAGTCCTGACTGGATGTTGAAGGTCGCTATGTTGATCTCGACTTCGGTCTTCCTGTCGCTGGAGTCGGTGGGCTTGTGGAAGTGTCGGGCCTCGGCGGTCGTCTCGACCCTGCTGGCGGTGAGGCTGCCGTGGCCGAAGTCGGGGTAGGCCTCTCGGGCGTTGGGGTCTGCGTCGAGCAAGAACTCCCAGTCTCGCTGGAATGCTCCGTCCATGGTGCTGGCCCACTCGGGCTGGGGCACTGGAACTGCTCGTAGGCGTCCGTGGTTGGCGGCGGCGTCGGCAACCTCGTTCCACGGATTGTGCTCGTGGGCGTGGACGTGCTGCAGGTCAATCTTCGGGCTGACCATGTCGTAGAGAATGCAGAGAGTCCTGACGAGGTTGGGGTCGTGGGCGGTGAAGGCGAGCCTCTTCGCGAGCTTCAGGGCACCGAGCGAGTCCGTGGATATCGTGGTGATGCCGTCGAGGTTGTAGTGGAGCACCCAGGCGAAGGCCCAGAGTAGGGCGGTGATCTCGACGGTCGTGGAGGTCGTCTCGTGGTCGCTGTTGTCCTTAAGGGCGATGTCGGTGCTGCTCTTCTGCTTTCCGACGATGGCTCCCTGGAAGCTGAAGCCGTGGTTGTCGTCGCCTGCGATCACCACGGACCAGGCGTCGTCACTCGGCTGCTTCGGGTGTTTGGAGCTGTCGGTGAAAAAGGTTGATATTTGCTCCTTCCTGGAGCGTTCGCTGTTGGTAGTGACGGAGCATGTAGTCGGCTGTCTCGTTGAGGCTCTCGTCGCAGAAGACAAAGGCGAGGTCGGGCGGTTGAGTCTGCTGGAGTGTTTGTCGGATGGTCGGTCGCTCGTCGAAGTGCACGCAACGCTGCTGAGGTCCTCTCCTTCTCCTCCTCTTCCTCCTCCTCCTCCTCCTCCTTGTCCTTCCATTCTGAGATGATTCCCAGCAGCTGCGGCTCGCTGGAGCGACGGTCGCGGCGGCGGTCGGGCGGGTCGCACATCGCACCCGAAAAACGGGTCATTGGACGTCCATTTCAATCATCGTCACCACCACCACCGTCATCATCATCAGCATCATCATCAGCATCAGCATCATCATCAGCATCAGCATAATCATCATCATCACCACCACCATCATCATCATCATCGTCATCATCATCATCATTAACACCATCAGCAGCATCATCATCACCATCATCATCATCCTCATCATCCTCATCATCATCAGCATAACCATCATTACCATCCTCATTCTCAGCATCATCAACATCATTCCCAACCCTGTCCTCCTCCTCCTCCTCCTCCTCCTCGTCATCATCATCATCATCACTATCATCATTATTATCATCGTGGCCTTCAACGTTGAACGCCGCCGGCGACCCAGAACCGTTCGATGCTTGAACGATCTGACGTTTCGGACGCGGCCAGATCGGCAAAGGTTGAACGATCCCCGCGGTGTCAGAAACCTGCGCTGGGGTCGTCACGACTCGAACCGGACGGGGCTAGGACGATGATAAATTTGTTCCGCAGCGTTCTGGAACGCTCTCAGAGCCTTGCGGAACGCTTTGAGTAGGCCGCGGCGCCCGAGACATCCTCCAGAGCCGCCAGATCTCCGAGATCCTCGATTTATCCTCACCCGATTTTGTCCTCGTCCTGGCTTCGTCTGACGTGGACGTCTGACGGTCTCCGCGTTGCCCGGCCGACTCACCGTCCGCCGCGCCGCCCCGGCCGGCGCAGGCTCGCCTCGCAGCGCGAGCTGAGGCTGTGCCAGCCGCGGGCCTCGGGCGGCGCCGCGAGGCGCGGCCGCCAGCCGCCACCGCACTCTTCGGCCTCGTCCTCGTCGTCGTGTTGTAGTCGGCGTCGTCCTCCTGATCCCGCTCGTTCTCTTCCTCCTCCCCTGGTCCCTCGTTCTCATCATCATCTTTTGTCGTCCTCCTCCTCCTCCTGAGGAGGAGGAGGCGGAGGAGTCCTCCTCCTCCTCCTCCTCCTCCTCCAAGGCATCTGGGTCAGGAGCACAGGTGCACTGAGCGACAGGCGCTCGCTCCCACACATGTTCCTACATGCCTCTTTCTGAGACATCCCCTCTTACATCTTATCCATGCTAATGGCTTATAGATGCTTCTGTGTGGGCTGCTGGCTCCTGATCGTCATCGAGGGCTGGACTTCGTGTCGGCTTCCCCCGGCACTTCATGGTGGAGGGCGCAGACAGGAGGGTGTGGATCGAGGTGACGGCGCGGCCGGAGAGCTGATGCATACGTCGAAGTGCGGGGACGAGATCACCTACCGAAAGGGGAACGCGGACCGCATGAAGGAGGGTCTGAACGAGACCACGGGCGAGACTGCGCGCGGTGAGCGCACTCTGACTGACGCCTGTCTGGACAGGGCCCCGTCCCAGAACGAACTGAATCGATTGTATGCGGCCCGCGATCCTCCTCTTCTCTCCTTTGTCGGTGCGATCGATTGCGGCGATTTCGGGCCCGACCGATTCGAGCTGAACTTGCCTCTGACCGTCTCAATCCGTTTGCCTTTTTGACCTGTAGCTATGCTGCTACTGCGCTATGTTGTGTCGGGGTGAGCTTATTCGTCGTTCACCTTCGGCCCGCTATGTAGTGTGGAGTGCCTAGGCGAGCCACCCGCGGTGTCCCCAAATGGGGGTCTCGCTTGGCCAGTGGTATTCCCCTGCAGGGCCCCAAAGACTATCGTGCCCCAAAGTGGTTCTCGAACACCGATCCGTTTTTTTGTTTTCCCTTGAGGGCCCTCAGGGTGCGCTCGCTCGAGGCTGTGGTACTTCATTCATCGGATCATCGGTGCTGCTCGCTCGCTCGCTCCTCCTCCTCCTCCTCCTCCTCCTCCTCCACATCGTCCGTCGCGTCCTGTCCTCCTTCTTGACCTCCTGTCCTCCCCCACTGCTGTCCTCGTCGT